GAAGGAAAGGGCATTTATGTGCAAATTGGGAGTCTTTCAGCTCCATGCTGGGCCCTGTCTTCCAAAGGTTTTCTCATGTACTGATGGGGTAGCCTAAGTTTGCCTACCATGAGACAAAAATTGAATAAAGGGGTTTAAATAAAAGACTTCCTTGTTCTGGTTTCATAGAAGGATATGTAGTTCTCCCAGACAGAAGCTGCAAATGTACTGAGTACCTGATCCTGAGCTCTGATCAATCTGACTAAAAATTGCTATAGGGAAGGAAGCCTGTTGCCATGCCAAAAGTCCACCAGCTCAGCCAAAGAAAAGTTTAGTGTGGATGCTTCAGATATACCATTATGTGAAGTGAACGACTTGAGACATGCACAGAGCCTAAAGAGGTTTCTGTGTTCCCTGCTGTGCTTTCTTATCATTGAGAGGTAGACTGTGAAGTATGAAGCCTGGTCTGTATCATACTCGTGAACACAGAGAGACTGAAGGTGCACCCAAGTTTCTTGATGCTGCTTGTCAGCACGATGTCAAAACCACCGTGTGCTTTCTGCCTGAAAGATCAGCATGGTTCTTATGGCAGAGCAGGCATTCAAGGAAGGGACCAAGTTAAGACTCATAATGTCGATTCTTGACAAGTAAAATCCCCACAGGGAATTTCAAAATGAGGAAAGCTTCTTGTTAGCATTGGACTTAACAGATTTTTACGTCTACTCTTCGCAGGAAGGTCACACTGGGGGAAATCTTAAGTTTCAGCAATAAAAAGATTCTTCCTTAAAAAAAAAAAAAAAAAGAGGTTCCTCCTTTCTCCTAAGTCTCCTGTGAGGCACATATAATTCCTTTTCCTCAATAATCTAAGACTCTCTTGTTCAGGAAAACGGAATTTCCCGAAGAGGCCAGTCAGGCCTTTCCTTCCAGTTTTCTAAAAACATCCTCAATACTCTCATTACGATTTCTGGAAAGGTTTCTTCCTCTCTATTTGCAAAAGACAGCTAAAGGTCCTAACTCAGGAAGGCTGGGGTCTTTGCCTGCTCACAGTAGAAAGGACCCTCTTCCGTTCCCATCTGATAGGTCCTCACTGGCTGACCCGAGTCTATGTTCAGAGGTAACTGAGGGAAAGAAAACCTTTCCTAGGAATAACGGCTTTCAATTGCTCCATGTTCTTTTAAGGAAGAAATAATTTTTCCCACAGACTAACTGTGGTGGCATGGATTTTTTAGCACTATTGTACAGTCCCACAAAGCCTGGAGCTCACCACAGACTTGACTGATCCATCTGCTACAACTACTCCCAGTGGAGTTAGCCAGGTCAATCAGAGCCTGTGGTTTGGTCCCAGATTCATATCCTCTTCTTACACATATGATTTGTTGACAGCTTATTAATGAAAGAAAAGGGTTAAAAACTTAAAATTAGTGCTGTTTGAACTATTTATCTTCATTAGTCTTTTTTTTTCTTATTAAAAGTAATTTGAATCTGAAGGCAGGGTCATAATTTATGAGTTAAGTCTATGGCTGGACTACAAGCACATTAACCCAGCAATGCAAAACTCTTATCATGAAAATGATTCAGTCCTTAAAATGGGTCCAAAAAGACTTTCCCTCTCTGTAGCCTATCAGAGGCTGTGGAACTGACAAGAGGAGTTTTTCCTCTCTCATTGTTTTCATTTCCCATGAGCTCAGCATGAGCTCAGCCAGGAGTATGCTCCTCCCAGCTTACCCAGGGACCTTTGCTAGGAGGAGGCAAAACGCCCTAAAGCTTCTGACTTCCTTACAAGGTATACTGATGGGACAGGGCTTCTTTCTGCTGTGCATACCCAACTTGAGGGGAGAATGATCATTTCATAGAAACTACACACTGACTTAACAGTGATTGTAACTGGGCACTCCACGCCTTCCTACCTTCCCACTCTGGATTCAGGCTTGCCTTGCCAACACCAGTGCACTGTAGATGAACACACCCTGCCAGTGTCCAGCTGACTGTCTCCTCCCACGCTTCATATTCGTAATATCTGATGTTGGGGGCTTATTCTTAGAAACCAATGAAATGAGTTGACTGTAACAAGGAACTAAGTTGCTACTGAACTCAGCACTACAAGGCAACATGTGTTGGGACACAAAAAGTAATGTCCAGTAATTTCTTAAAATTGCCCAGCAACATCAAAATTCAAAATACTTCTAAAAACCAAGGAAAAGATGACTTGTTATCAAATCCAAGCACTGTATATGCCTAACTGTGGGCTCTTCCTTACATTCTAGCTAATAGTGAAAGCAATTTTAACAGCCTTGTTTAACTTCATTTTCTAGGTCACTGAAGATTAGAAGGGAGAGGCAAGAGTTAACTGTTCTATATCCATAGGGTATTGGTTCCCCTATATTTAGAACCCATACATATTTAGATCCTTTGTATAAAATGGCATGGTATTTACATCTCCCCATATACTTTAAATCATGTCTGTATTATTTGTGATACCGAATATAATGTGAATGTCATGTGAACAGTTAGTATACTATATTGTTTTCAAATTTGTATTCTTTTTCATTGTCTTTCCCCCTTAAATATTACCAGTCTGTGGTTGATTGAACTTGCAGGCACAGAAGCAACTGTAATACTTGATAATATGGTGGTTGTGGGGGAAAAACTCAGAAATGACCTCCCTCCTACACAGCTATACATAGCAATCCACCCAGCAGCACACTGGTCAGGCCGTAAGCATTCCAATATAGCATTCAAACTGCACAGCGATATAAAACATTTACAACACAGCAGTCCCAAATGTCTCCAATATCTTTGAAAATATCACCACAGTAAAGAACAGTAAGATCTTTTTAATATTAACCTGCACTCAGAAAAAGACAAACAATGGTATGTACAATACAGCATTGAGAAAAGTAGGCAAATAAAATTTAAAATAATTCCTACATAAACTAGAATTTGGTTATACAAGACTGTTTTGCAGCTTACAATGATAAATTTTAATTTTCTAAGACATTCACTTAGCTTTAAGTTAAAATTTTAAGTAACATAGATCCAGGAGAGTTGGACAACGGATACATACTTACAGAATAGAGTCTCTGCTGTCAAGGAGCTGACAACAGAAAAGGAAAAAACAAGTAAAGGCTGACTCAGGGAAGGCCATCCTGCTTTTAGAATAAGGAGGCATCGGTGTTTCACAAAGGAACATACAACTGCTCATAGGCTTGAATTTTCTCCATCTACTCTTGCTGTATTTTGATGCCTGAAGAAACCCAGATATAACTGCACATGGTAATACATGCCTGTAATCGCAGCACTCTGCGAGGCTGAAGCAGGATGATTGCAAAATAAGTGCAGTCTTGGCAATTTAGCAAGACCTTGTCTCAGGCAGATGGATGGATGGATGGCATTGCAGAAAGGAAAGAAAGGAAACCCAAACATAATAATTTCTGTTGCTTCGAACTATACTACCTTCAAATGTGGTAAGGGGGCCTTCAGTCAACATCCTACTTTAATGCTGAATGTTCCTTAAGCTCCTAGAAAGGCCCTTCTGAAACAGACATCTCTCTGCAGCTGGATTATGTCTACCATGTTACCTGTCATGCCATTTCTAGGGACCATGTAGCTCTAATCTGGTGTCAGTACTCTCTTTTCCATCCACGCTTTTGTCTGTCTGTCTCTGTCTGTCTGTCTACCTACTCACCCACCCATCTATCTTTCATCATTTATCTTTCTGTCCATCTATTGTTACTGGGTTTTGAACACAAGGCCTCTGCACTGAGCTACATCCTCAGCCCCTTTTAAAATTTTTAAATTTTGAGATAGGGTCTCACGAAGTCACTAACTTTCCCAGGCTGGGCGTGAACGCACAGTCCTTCTGCCTCAGCTCAGAATGCTGGGATTACAGGCATATACTACATACCCAGCTTGCATCCATGCTTCTAACATAATCTGGATAAACAGCAGCTTTGAGAGAACAAATTTTACTCCAATGGCAGGAGCATTAGCTCTGTAAAGTAGGAATTATTAACACCAGTAATAGAAATAAAAGTGCTCAAAGTATCTTTTCCCAATCTCTTCCATGTACTCTGAAGGGCACAGTGGCAGAGGCTGGCAATTTTAGATATTTACAACAAAGGAAGCTTTTGGGAAAAGGGCTTACATAGCGAGAGCCAAGACCCAAAACAAAAGTGTCTGACTAACAAATTTATACTTTGGGTTCCAGTCATCAGTAATTGAGACTCAGAAAACTGCAGCACTGGAAATTCTGACATAGGTGAAGAACTAAAATATTTTAGCAATTAAGACAGTACTTCTCAAACTCTTACATGCAAAGAACTTTTGAAGTGTCTGGGGTATATTCTCTCTTTTTTTGAGACAGGGTTTCACTATATAGTGCAGGCTGGCCCTGAACTCACTATGTAGCCTAGGCTGGCCTCAAACCCACAACAATTCTTTGGCCTCAGCCTCTTGAGTGTTGGGATTACAAGCACGGGATACCACACCCAGCTGCTTGTTGACAGTGGGGCATTTATTTGAAGTATGTTTCATTTAATAATTCATGAGAATTTTGTAAGTTTTATTCCATTTTACATCAATAATTCTCCCCTGAAATATTAACACTGTAAAAAATTAACACTGTTAAAATTAACACTGTAAAAGATAAGCCCATGCCCACCCTTATGGCTTCTCATAGCTCATTCTGAAAAACAAGCACCTGAAGATATCTTCACTGCAGTTACCAAACCAGCTAATCTGCAATTTCAAGAAATCATAAAAGGAGAACCTCTGCATAAGAGATAAGGCTTAGGCGTGTCTCTTTGTATGTTCAATTAAGAAATAAACTACAACCAAAAACTGATCAAATTGGTCTGCTCAGAAGTCCAAGAAATTGCTTAGTTTTCTAATAGCATGCTTTGGTGGTTTAGGAGAATAAGGAGACCAGGGACAGAAGTGAAAATGTATGCTCAACTAGTATATAAAGTAATGGCAGAGAAATACACATGAGATAGAAAGACTTAAACAAGGGTGAGACTTACTTTAAAATCTGCTAATTGTTGGTTGATGACATCCACTTCCGTCCCCACTACCCACTGGAGGGCATCTCCTTCCTCTGCTGCAGTGGTCGCATCATTCAGTGCTTTCAATTTCCTGTAGAAGTCCTCTACACGGCCCAATGTCAGCTCTAGCTGTTCCTGGCGAGCTTTTCCCCTCTCTGTCAGTTTACTGCACTGTTTGTTCAGAGCTTCTAGCTCCCTCTTCAGACCCAGCAAGTCCAGAGTCCCCTCTTCTTCCAGCATTTGTTGGCACTCTGCTTCAGAGGCCTCTATGTCAAACCTGAGGGCTTGGATTTTGTTAAGAAACAGCCATACATCCTCAATTTGGGACTGGAGGCTATCTGTGTCTCTGCCAATAGCACCCATGCCATCCAGCTCATCGTCCAGGTCTGCCAATTGAGAAAACATCTCCCGGACTCGGCAGTGAAACTGGCCAATGCCCTCCAACTTGTTTTCCATTGTCACGCAACCACTATTCACTCTTTGCTTCACTTCTAGGAACTCTTGCTGGGCAACCTCAGCTTGATGCAGAAGTTGGGAAGCATCAGATCCATCTGGCGCATCTTCTACCAGCCCCTGAGTGAAGTTCCTCAGATAGTCTACCTGAGGTTCCAGGGCCTGCAGCACTTCCTGTTGAGCCCTCAGCTTCTCCAGATTCTTGTTGCTACAGGCTTGAGAGCCCAGAGCATCAAAGATTTCAAGTTGATGTTTGGCTCCTTCCACCTTCTTTTCAATATTCTTAAAGCTTTCTTGGAACTCTTTGAGCCTCTGACTCATTTCTTCAAGCAACCCTGTTTTGGCCTGTAGCTCTAGTGTAATGACATCCATGTTCTGGTTGATCCCAGCCTTCTCGTCCCGAATATCATCCTCATCTGTTTCTGAAGAATTGATGAGAATGTCAGCAGCACTATTCAGTATTTCCAGCAAGGAGCGGCGCTTCTCCACCTCACTGAGCATAGCCTTTGACCTCAGGAGACCAGACTCGAGTTGCACTGGGTCCAGAGTGACTTGCAACTCTGATAACTTGGCCTTACAATCTTCTATCCATGGCACAAGGTCTTCCACATGCCACTGATACTTCTGAGCTTTCTGCATGCAGTCCTTGAGTCTGGTTTGTCTATCAGCAGTTTTTTTACTAAGTTCTTCCCAATGACTTTTGAGTTCAACCATCTGGTTTTGTAAAGTCCTTTTCTCTTCTCCAGGAGGAACAGAGAGCAGCAGAGACTCTCCCTCAGCTACAATCACCTCATAAGAACCACTGTGTTGATTAAGGCTCTTTTGAAACTCTTCATTCTCCTGTAACTGAGACTGTATCTGCTCTAATTTTGCAGAAATTGGGCAGTTTTTTGCTTGCTGGCTTTGTTTGTCATCCAACCAACTCCTCAGCTCATCAAACATTTGCTGAAACTGCTGGGTACTGGCAAGGGCTGCCTGGAGTCTGTTCATGCGATCAGCTAAAAAAAAAAAAAAAAAAAAAGAAACTGAAATTAATCAAGCCTGAGCATGGCGATAGAAATGTTTGTGGAGAGTATATGAGAATCTACCATAAAGAGGCATGTAACTAGGCCCCTTCACACAAGTATCTTATTCAATCCCCATATCAACCTTCCAAGGTGACTTGTGTACTTCTAAGCCAGTGTAAACTGATATAAAGAAAAGGTTTTGTTGGTGAATGTGTGCTTAACTCTATCTATGAGTATATCTATAGGCATGTGTCTACCTGATGACTGGCCTTGAATTAGAGCTTGTACCTCTAGGACTGTCCTACGTACAGCCCCACATGGCTCTACCGCTCAGTGTGTACCAACAACAGCAGTTCTGCCGCTGGAAGCAGGGTCTGGGTGACACAATTCTCTTTTTGTTTTGTTCTGCTGAGACATGGTCTTGCCATGCAGTGGAGGCTGGCCTTAAACTCACTTATGGAGCCCAGGCTGGCCTTGAACTCGAGGAGATCCTCCTTCCTCAGCCTCCTGAGTGCCAGGATTACAGGCATGGACCACCACACCTGGCCTTGGTAACACAAATCTGAGTCTAAAAGCTACTTAAGGGTCATCCTACATTCCTGAGACCACTATTAAGCCACTCAGTTTCTTCTTGCCACTGATAATGACAGAAGTGTGCTCCTCATTCCAACTCACCTGCAAGATCTTCTAGGCCTTGGAGTGGCAGGGTGACCGTCTCTAAACGCTTCTTGAGCTCATCTTTGAGGTACTGCTCACCAATAAGCATTGAGAGGTCATTGCACAGTGTCTGGGCCTCCTTAATCTCACTGTGAAGTTGCTCCAAGTCAGATCGAATCTCACTGGTCTCCTCCAATTGCTGCTTTACAGCTTCAGGCTGGGTGCTGATGGCTGACTGGCTGCTTAGACGCAGCCCAACTGCTTTCACCTTCTCAGATAAGTCCTGGAGCAATTCTTGGTATTGCGTGCTTTTGACAATAGCTTGGTCAATTTGGCTGGAACGGGAATTCAATTTGTTAGTTAGTTCAACCCACTTCTGATTGATGCTCTGGAGTTCTTTCTGTACTTGGCTGGTGGATGGAGAAACATCTCCCGGGCCTGTGAGAATGCCCCGAGCCGCCTCATTCAGCTGCTCATGCTGTTGCCTGCGCGCTTCAAATTCCTTCAGCATAAACTGTAACAGAAACAACACCAACATGTTTATAAGAAAAAACAGATCTAAAACCAGTGTCAAAAGCAAAAACTAATTTTGGATTGTGCCAACCCCTTCTGAAAATAAGCCAAAAAACTCCAAGGACCAGACTACTAGTCTGAGGCTGTATTACCTTTTTTTGTTTTGTTTTTTTCTTTCCTTGAGACAGGGTCTCGCTATGTAGCTCAGGCTGGCCCTGAACTCATGATCCTCCTACCTCAGCCTCCTAAGTACTGGGATTATAGGTGTGCTACTACACCTGGCTGAGGCACTATTACTTTTAACAACTATTTACTAAAAATTTATTTTGAAAAGATTGTTGACTGGATCTATTTATTTTTCTTATTTGTCCTATTTTGTTGTAATATCAGTTACGAAGGTCAGTGTGGGCTAGGAAACCAGGATGGCATTCATCAGCTTTGCTATGCAACACCACGCTTCTGAATTCAAAGTCGGGAACATTGGGTCCCTCAGCCAGCTGTATTACTGGCTAGGTTTGCCATTTCAACTCTCAGTGCCTCTATTTCTTAGTTTATTTATTGGAATTCCAACAGCACATATGATCTGTACATTACAGTATAACACAATTAGATAAAGAGCTATTTAAAAATAAGGACTATGCTTTTATATTTATTTTCTATCCTCTTCTGCTCTAATCAAAGAAATGACTATTTTATGACAGACTGGTGGTGCCACAGCACTTGCATTTGAACCCTACTGTACCACTCACTAACTGTATAAACTTAGGAAAGTTTTAAAAAGTTGTTCATCCAGCACTCAGGAGGCTGAGGCAGGAGGATTGCTGTGAGTTCTAGGCCAGCCTGGGCTACAAAGTGAATTCAAGGTCAGCCTGAACTGTATAGTGAAATCTTATCTCAAAAAGACTGGGGGGAAAAAAAAGTTCAAACCTCAGCTCCATCATCTGTAAAATAAGGACAGTAAAGTACTTATCTTGGCTGTCATAAAGATTAAATGAGAGAGGTGAGGGTATAGCTCAGTGGTAGAGCACCTCCCTGGCATGAATGAGCCCCTGCATTCAATCCCAGTACGACAGAGAGAGAGAGAGAAAAAAAAGAAGATTAAATGAGATAATCTATGGAAAGTCCTCAGCATTTATACTATACAAAAATAAGATATGGCTGGCCATGTGGCACATGCCTGTAATCCCAGCACTTGGGAGGCTGAGGCAGAAGGACTGCTATGAGTTTGTGGCCAGCCTGGGCTATGTAGTAAACTCAAGGCCAGCAGAACCACACAGCGAGACCTTGTCTCAAAAATAAAAAAGATATGACCTCACCTGGACCTGCTGCTTTTGTGCATTCAACATATTGGGATCAATAGACAGGGGCCCCAGCACGCCCATCATCAGCTCCTTCTCCATCAGCCAGGGCCGGAGCTGGGATTCTGCTGCCTGGAAGCCGGCCAGATGGCTTGCAGACTCCTCTAGCTGCTTCTGCCGAGCCATAGTCACCTCAGTGGCCCTTTCCCATCGGGAGTCTGTAAGGAGGAAATGAGAACGCAGTTCCTTTACTCTCCTCAGTAACTGCTTGTCCCTAAATTATGTTTCTTCCTATGCTATAGGAAATGACCCTGGAAATATTATTTAACATTTATTTAAAATTTAAAATACCTTTTTTTTTTTCTTTCCGGTACTGGGGATCGAAGTCATGACCTTGCACTTGCCAGGCAGGTGCTGTGACGCTGAGCTAAATCCCCAGCCCCTTAAAATATCTTTTTAAAAAAATTTTAATTTATCATTCTGTATCTTTATTGGAGTGGTGGTAACATGAAACTGCTCATGATAAAATTATACAAAACTCACGATAAAATTATACAAAACACATATGTAGAGTATATGTAAAATGTACTACATATATTATCAAAGTAGTCTGTTTAAAATTTACTCTGCTGAGCATGGTGGTGCATGCCACTAATCCCAGCACTCAGGAGGCTGAAACAGGAGGACTGTTGTGAGTTCAAGACCAGCCTGGGCTACAAAGGGAGCTCATGGCCAGCCTGAACTGCACAGTGAGACCCTGTCTCAAAAAGACCTCCCAGGGGCTGGGGATTTAGCTCAGCAGCAAAAGCGCCTGCCTGGCAAGCGCAAGGTCGTGAGTTCGGTTCCCGGTACCAGAGAAAACCCCCCCCCAAAAAAAAAAAAAAAAAAAAGACCTCCCAAAATAAATAAATAATTAAATAAAATTTACTGTGCTATTTTTCATGCTAATACATTTTTTCATGTTCATTCACTTACATTACTTACTTATAATTTTTCTAACCTCTTTATTAAATATCTGGATCACCTTCCATTTCAATTTTATCATCAATTCCTTTTTAATTCTTAGTAGAGGTGGACTCTCAGTTTGGCTTGCTCAGGAAAACAGGCTTCTGATTCCAAGTTTCTACAGATTTTCCCTACTCAGGTTCCCTCAAAGCCCCATATGGACCTCTTCCTTGGTTATAAAACTTTACTGAACATAATTTCTATTTTATAAAATGTGCTCAAATTCCACTTATTTTGGAGACAAGCAATTTAGTGAATGTGAAACATTTCTGTGACAACTTACTGAGCTCCTCTTGCATTTTCTTCCAATTTTCTGCTTCTTGTGAGTTGGGATATGTCATTAGTAATCCAGCTAAGGCTTCCTTTGCTTTTTGGATTTTTGGAAAATTCTGTTCCAATTCAGCCAGGAAGGCCTATGAGAAAGAATATAAGGCATGCCATGAGATTCAGGGCAGGAAATGGGAGAGGGAGAGGGAGAGAGGGAGGGGGAGAGAGGAAGAAGGAGAGAGTGAGAGGGAGGGGGAGAGGGAGAGGGAGAGGGAGGAGGGAGAGGGAGAGAAAGAGAGGGAGGGGAAGGGGGAGATGGGAGAGAGGGAGAGGGAAAGAGGGAGAAGGAGGGAGACAGGGAGAAAGGGAGGAGCAGAGACGGAGGGGAAGAGACGGAGGGGGAGAGAGGGAGAGGGAGAGGGGGGGGGGGAGAGAGGGAGGGGGAGGGGGAGGACAGGGAGAGAGGGAGAGAGGCAGATGGAGAGGGAGAGGGAGAGGGAGAGGGAGAGGGAGAGGGAGAGGGAGGGAGAAAGTGTATACGTATGTGAAATGTTCGGAAGATTGACTGACTGGCAATTATAGGCTCTGCTCGGATTCTAATCAGGACTTATTTTGTGATTTTAAGATACTTAACATTCTGCTTCAATATTTACTTTAAAATGAAAACCTAAGATGGGTATGGTGGTGCATGCCTATAATCCCAGCGCTTGGGAGACTGAGGCAAAAGGATTGCCGGGAGTTCGAGGCCAGCTTGGGCTACAAAGTTGGTTCAAGGCTAGTCCGAAGCCTGTCTCAAAAAAACCCAAAAACCAAGATATAATGATGACAATGTTTTGGTAGTTGGAGGAGATAACATGCTATGCTCAACTGGAGTATTAGAACTTTTGGAGAAAATTTTTATAGGATCTTCTACGGTCTTACATCTTCTGACATTTTTCTTTGTCTTATTTGACAATCTTAAGAATGAACTGTTACCAGTGTTTTGGGGCCCTCCAAGAATAGAAAAGATGCTTTGATGAGAATGATTTGGCTCTCGTGTAACGACATATGGAAAAAAGAGATCCCATTCATAAAAGACTGATGCATCTGGGGGCAGGTATTTTCTGCACACATTTCAGGTTTTGTTTCTGAATTGTGACTTAACAGTTTCTAATTTCACAGGTAAGCAAATTCTTTAGGAAATTAAGGCATGTTAAAACATTTGGAAGCCAAACACACTGCTTATCACAGCCCGGATACCTGGCCGTGTTGCGCTCTCAGGTGCCTTGCTTAGGGCAGGAGCACTGGTGTAGCAGTCATTCCTCTTAGTGCTGAGATACAACTAATATGAACAGTACCTTGTTAGATTCAGCTTGGGCTTTCACTGTTTCCGTCTTGGTGGGAGACAAAGTGGCATCCATGGTTCTCAGGACTTCCTCTTTTGATTCCAGCCACTGCAGCACTGTGCTCGCCTCCTTCTGAACTTCCTCCATCCTGCTGAGGACAGCCTGAAGGCTTTCCTGGCGATCCCGCAGTACGCTCCCTAGCTTCTCATACTTCACATTTACATCTGACATGTCACACTGGATCTCCGTCAGGTCTAGCATCATAGACACAGAAATTAGACTGGGAAGAGCTCTCCCCCTGGTTTCTCATTCTGGAATTACTTGTCGGGGTTAAGCATCTGTCCTACTGCTTCAGTGAGCTAGTGATTATCTCCCTCCTAAGCACATACAAGCTTCTGTTTATGCAAAGCAGAAGAGCTCTCAGTCTGCTTTCTGGTTTGGGCAGTACATACTCCAGAGTATACCTGAAGATGCTCAGTAACCATGGAAACAACAGAAGCGGGGAGCACAATAAGAAATCAACTGTAGCATACTATCGGTGTTAAAGGACTTGCAGTAGCTTCCTGCTCTGTTCCTCCCAACTACAGAGAAGTCACCCAGGGAAGTTGAGGGCTTCTCTAGATTACCTCTTGAATGGCTTCTTTCTAATTTAGAGTCATATTTTTTTGCAAGGTCTCTCCACATTGGCCTTATCTGGTGAGCTAGTATTAATTTTTCCTCAGTACCTTCAGTTCTGGAGCTGCTAAACTATTTAGCCTATACTCAGCAGGCAGAGTGGCATCACAGTTGCTTCTCCCAAGACTTTTGCCCTCATACCCCTCCTGGCAGCAGCTCTTCCACACATATTAGAAAACACAGAGATGTAAATGAGAACACTGTCCCAACACACCCAACAAAGAGGCCTTGTTGAAATGGCATTCTCACCTTTGCAGGTATGGTATCCGTTTACACTGCCTAAAGAGCTTCCTACAGAGGGCAGTATGGAACCTGAGCAGGAGGACAGGGAGACAAACAGGGCAAGACCAACATGTTAGGAATACATATAGGCACTGCATTTGTTCTTAGACACTCACTTTAAGCTCGGGTATTAGGAAGTTAACACAGCACAGGACAACATACTCACGGAAAGAGACACATCATTTTAGCTGCCAGGCAACAAAATGTCACTTGAGGTGTTTTCTCAGCAGTAATGATTATTAATCTTTTCTAAAGGAAATTAAATTCTTAACTCTCTGAATTCTCTGGACCATTCCCTAATTTTGTGGAGTACTGTTAAAATTTTTGAGTCTTTTTTGGGGGGAGGATTTATAATAAAGCCCAAAAGAGTCATCTTTAATATCAATGTACTTCATATAATAAAAACAAACAATAAGCACAATTAAAAACACAGAAAGCAGTATTTATTTAATAAAGACATAAAAATGAACCTTTCTTACATTCCCTCTAAAGGAAGATTCCCTGTTATTCCTTTCCTGACCTATTCTAGGTCTCCTTACTCCACCAGAAGAAGATATTTTAAACAGTAATAAATCTGGCTCATAAACATTCTCATAAGTTCTAATTTGGACCTTTGGTTCTAATTACTATAATTTTACCTATATTTTCCTCAAGTTGATCCCTTCTATTTCAGAAGAGCTTCCAAGTTCAGTAAATATCAGGTCACAAAATTATAAAGATTACGCAGAAATCTGGGGAATATTCATGATATAGTGCTACATTAAAAGAGGGTACACCTCAGTGGTAAAATGCTTGCCTAGCATGCACAAAGCCCTGAGTTTGATCCCTAATACTGAAGAAAGAGAAAAAGGAAAAAAAGAATAATATGCCTATGTGCAACGACTACATTACACAAAAATCATGTACAAGGTTAAATTAAAAACTACTTGTTAGGGTGGTGATTGTAAGACTGAAATGTTAATGATATTGTATTTTCAATTAAAAATAGATCAAAAAAATTATTTTCCATTTTAATGTGGTGATAACCAAAAAACAAAAACTGGATTAAGGAAGTCCTAGCCAAGGCTGTCATTAACTCAGTCTGTAAGCCTTAGTCTATGGTCAGCCTTCGGTTTAACTCTCTAGAGTAAAAATACACGACTGTCTCTTCTGTAACTCTCAAAGGATTACTGAAAAGAAGTCAAAAGATAAGGTACATGAAAAATACTTCATGAAACAGAAAGAACATACACAACTATAATGAACTGGAGTATTGAGTTTTTCAATGAAAGAACTCAGGACAGTGGTTTTTTAACTTTTCCAAAGAAGTGCTTTAGGGATTCTGTAAATGTCTGGTTTAAAGCTACTACCTGGATAAATTTCTAACTACTAAGGAATGGCAATAAAACATCCATGTTCAAATGTGTTGAATGTCCCATCTTAACCTACCATCTCCAACCAGTCTATGAAACTTTTTGTGGAGGAATAAGCAGCTCCGGACACCTCTACATGTATTTAAACTTCCTTTTCAGTGCCAGTGATTGGAAAAGGTTAGAGCTGTTTGCCAGTATGACGTAATACTCAAACCTGTACACGAGCATTTCTGGATACTATCAGTCAAGGATAAACAACTACCGTACATTAAATAAAAGGTTGGGCAAACTCTCTTTTTTTTGTTTTGTTTTTTTGTTTTGTCTTTTTGAGGCAGGGCCTCGCTGTGCAGTTCAGGCTGGCCTTGAGCTCACTTTGTAGCCCAGGCTGGTCTTGAACTTGAAACGATCCTCCTGCCTCAGCCTCCCAAGTGCTGGGATTACAGGCATGCGCCACCACGCCCGGCCTGGGCAAACTCTCTTCGAGGTAGAATTGTACAATAATAGAATTCTTAATACTGTAGGTGATAAAAACCATTAACTTACAAACATTCTTAGTGGTTTAACTTGGAAACAAGAATTACTACATTACTTTTAAGTTTCTAGTACAGTTTAATCAAAGAGTATCCTAAGATTATAAAATGAACTTTAAAAAACATTTGTCATTATTTCATGATGAGTGTAATCATTATGTACTGCAAATATATACTAATAAAAATAATAAGAAAACCATTAAAACAAAAAATTGTTATCATTTGCAATTACTCATCTATATGAACCATATTTTGGGGATAGAATACTAAACAAAATTTAGAAATAAATCAGACTGATATAGCTATCATCTACTGATCTTCCTTTTCAAATTTTCATATTAATCAAAATAGTCTCAATATTCTCAGCAATATATTTCATAACAGATAAATGCTTAAAATTAACTTATAAGGGAAATTTGTGCCAGAAGTTTTACTTGTAGAGTAAGGTTCATATGATATCTATTCTTTTAAAATGAGTCTATGGTTGAGTTCATGCCTACTGTGTGTAAGGTTCATCCCGTCAAAACCAAAAATGACTGCAGTGCTTTAAAAGGTATGAGAAATGACTGATCTAGACCAGGAATCATCAAACCATAGTTCACCCACCAAACCTGGCCCTTCAGGTGGGCATGGTGGCACCTGTAATTACATGCCTGTAATCCCAGCACTAGGGAGGCTGAGGCAGGAGGACCGCTTTGAGTTTGAGGCCAGCCTGAGCTGCACAGTGAGTTGAAAAACAGCCTGGGCTACATAGCAAGTACATGTCTCAAAAAACTGAAGACAAACAAGCAAAACCAAATCGAGCACGCCGGGTCCTTTACCTGTATTTGTATACAAAGGTATTCTGGACACAGCCATACCTATTCATTTATATACAGTCTGCGAGTGTTTTTGTGCCACAGTGACAAGAGTATATAACTGTGACAGAAACCATGTGCTCTGCAAATCTAAGGGATTTATCTGTACTTTACAGAAAAAGTTTATAGATTTCTGATCTAGTCACATTAATAATTCACTGAATTTAGAGGTTTATATATTAAAGTATACAAATCCTCAGTTTTCTAAAATGCTGTCAACTCTTGGATAGTTCCAAGAAAACTTTAACTTTATTTTAAAGAACTTGTTTTCACCAGGAAAAAAGTAAACTTTTAAGTATTTAAGTAGGAAGAGAACAATACACAATACATCAACTATTATAACTGCCCTACTAACCTGTTTTGAAACTCAGTTTCATTGTTATGTTTATCTTTTTTCTCTTTAAAATAAAAAAACTATTTAAATGACTATAAAAGTATACTATCATAGTCTGCTAATAAAATCTATGGTTTCTCCATTAACAGCTAGCAAGTGACTGTGAAATCATATAGAATTTTGCCTAAGTGATTTAACTTACAGCCGGAGGTTATTCTTGCGTCTGACTTGGAGAACTGTACCAGTGTCTGCTGTACCAATGCTGACTCTCAACACCTGGCCTTCCCTTAGATATCACACTCATATCCACTCAGGCTGGCTCAAGCTTAAAGATGATGCATATCTATCCCACTGACACATTAAAGTTTTGCAAGATGAAAATTCCATTTTAAGCTCTTCTTTGTTCATTTTACTGTTCTAACTGGGCCAACTGGAGTAAACGGAGCAATGCTACATAGCTAACAGAAAAACACATCAGGCTGTGAGGAGAGATTGCTTTGTGGCCCCCATTTTTATAGCCAACCTTGACTTTGACTTTAACTACACAAAAAGGCATCTCCAAAGGCCGAAAGTGAAGAGTGACATTTATGCACTACATTTTGAAGTGCCCACTCACCTGTCTTGGCTGGGGAATCAGGTGCTGTGATCTCTGTGATGAGATTTTCTAAAGATGTGCCTTTGCAATTGATTTCTTCCACCAGTGTTCCTTTACTTGTCCAGTCATCCAGGAGATGCTGTTTATAGGACAAAACAGCTAAATTTAACACCTGGGGGCCTTTTCCTCATAACTAGGGACAACTGTTTTACGTACACTTATTTCTTCTTGTGGGTGGTAGTGGCAACTGAACCCAGGGCCTCACACATGCTAGGCAAGTGCTCTACTAAGAGTTACACCTCCAGCCCTTGCTATTCTCTTATCTGAGGAGATGGATTTGCTGACTTGCCCACACTGGGCTCAAACCTCCTGCCCTCAGCCTCTCAAGTAGTTGGATTACCTACACATCTGGCCTCTCATTTATCAAATAATTATTTAGCATCTACTATAGAGATCAGCACCTTGTCACGTATTGGAATACAAGATAGGATTATGACAGTTCCTAGAACCAAGTCCTCAGATTACCAGTTGCATTATATGATAAATGTTATTACAAAAATATTGTGAACTCTTCAGTGCATAAGAGGAGATACACTGCCTAAAGAGAAGAAAGCTCTGACCATCTATCAGGGGAACTTTAAACTGGGTTTGAGGCAGAGTTCAAACTTACCACGGAAAGGGAAAAAAATGGCATCTGCTCTAAGACAAAAGTACCAGATCGTGCTAAGTCTTGGAGATGGCATGGCCTGCCACAGCGGTATGATTTTACTCATTTCAAAACAGGGACACCATGCTATTCTCTGTAGTGAATATCCATGAAAACTTAGTAAGCTCTTGTCTCTAAACTTCAGAGTAGCAAGAGAAAGACATAAAAGCATTAAACCTATCAAGCTCATAAAGCCTAGCTCCAACTAACTTGTGGCTGGTCACTGCTTATCAAATCTTTCATTATAGTAAGTCCCTGACTTACAGATGAGTTCTATTCCATGAGAACATTTATAAGTCAGATTCTTTCATCAGTCCAACAAAATGAGTCTTATACACCTTTGACACACATACAATGTAAAGCATAAGAAAACTAAACACATACAGAAACACACTGTCTCTGACTGCACTATACTACTGTACATTACTGCACTGTACAGTAAGCACATAGCACATCTGTGCCCATGTCTGGCAGACACATGATTTACTTCTGCAACTTGTCTGCATCTGTGATGTTTGTAATGTGAGGTCAATTCCTATCTGAAAGTTCACAACTTGAATGTTCATTAAGTTGGGGATTTACTGTAATCATTTTTGATTCCTAAGCCAGTCCTAAAACTATGCAGGGACATGAAGGAAATTTTAAAATTTTGAGGGAAATACAGTGACCTCTGTTGGACACCATGCAAACAACTACTCTTAATTTGTTAGCATGGGGAATTATTTGGTTGCTCTGTAGGTTTTTTTGAGGGGTGAGACCTTGAAGTACCATGAAAAACTTCATGACACACTAAAGGCAGTCTCTATAATTGCATGAGCTTTATAATGTATGTGTGTGTACATGAATGTAAATGTATACTCTGGAATATATATACAGAGTATGCCAAAAAATGTACACATACTTCAGGAAAAGAAAAAGTAACAAATGTCTAGAAGCTAATGGCCCACTCTGAGCACCTCTTGTAATTGTAGAGGCCAAAGGTAACTTGTATTAATCTCATGATGTCTCAATAAAGTTAGCACTAAAATACTTACACAAATTTTTCTTTTCCTGATGTATCCATTTTTTTGGCAGGCTGTGTATATAGTCTATTGATCTGTTTCTCCAGAGAACCTTGATTAACACAGACGCAAGTGACTGAAATTCACTACTGAGTCCCAACACAATTACCACTTTATTCCATTTAACATGTATTAGACTGTTGAATCAATTATCTCCCACAGAAAACAAAACAAAACACCCCCAAAACAACAAACGTTAAGGGCACTGTAAACCAAGAAAGCTGGGGAACCTCTTTCGTAGGGAATTCCAACAGTAAATGTTCCTGGCACTTGCTTTGTGATAATAAATAAACTCTGCTCATTCACCTGCCCAAGATAAAACCTGTTTTTCTGAGAAAGTAAGGAGTAACACATGAGTGTTCATTAGAAGCAGACTTGGCTTATTTCAACAAAAAAGATACATCGCAGGTACAGGCAGAGGGGAGTTGACTATGAATCAAAGGTGATACAAAAGGGGTTCTGAGGGGACGGGAGAAAGACTGATCGTATTCTTAAAGGTATCTTCCAACCACGTGATTCTGACTTCCTTAGCAGCCAGAGTATTGCTAGTACTTTTCTCCTTAATTTTCTGATGACATGTCTGGTTACTTGCTCAATTATACCTGGCTTAATTCTTGAGTATATAATGACAGTACAAGCTTCTCAAAGACTAGACTCACTCTTTTAAAATGATGTCTTTTTCAGCAACTACCACATCATGAAAGGCATTCAATAAACAGCTTAAACAGTTTATAGATTTTCTTTCCAGATGATTATTTATTTATTCATTGGAGACAGGGTCTCACTATATAGTCCAGGCTGGCCTTGAACTTGCCAACAATTCTCCTGTCTCAGCCTCTCAAATGCTGGAATACAGGCATGTGCCACCACACCTGGCTTGATCTTGATTTTTAAATAGGAGATGTTGTAGTGCTCAGTGCTGCGTAGAGAGGGCTCAGTAGGAATCACATAAAGAGAACGGAGAAATGTCTATTCTAATACAGGTGGACAACTTGAATTTCTTGTAGTACCTCTACTCTGCAACTAAGGATTACTTGGTACAAGTTTCCAAACTACTGTCTAGCCAGAATACTACAGCCTTTCTATTCACCTACCTTCAGGTGCTCAATCTGCTTTTCCAGCTCTTTAGCACTCATGAAAGTCTCTGAAGGTGGAATATTTCCTTCAGTTTCTCTCAGCCAATTTTGGAAGGTCCTAATCAGCTTCCGAAACTCATCTAACTGCTCTCGGCAAGATGACGCATCTTTCTCTCTGTCAACAAAGAAGTGTTGTTACTTGTTAGATTAAGTTTTGTAAAATCAACTTGAGCTGCAACTAGGTTCCTTCTGGGACTCTAGGCATTGGTTTCCTAATAGGGCCCTTCCTTCCCATAATCTGTTCCACAGCAAGTTTGGCTGAACAACTGCATATAATGTAAGAGAAGCACCAAACTCAGGAATCTGTTGCCCTTGTTTGGACATTTCTGGGGAAAGGAGTCTTCAATCTTACTCCAGGCTAAAGTGAAAGTGATAAAAACTAAAGGGAGCCTGCTATTTAGGTACAATGATACAATGGAAAGAATGCATGCTTTGGATCTCAATTCTAGCTCTGTACATTTTAGGTATTTGATTCTTTCAAGTCCTCACTCAAATGGTGAACCTGAGACTCAGAAAAGTTAGGTGGTTAGCCCTATGTAAATCACATCCAAGAGTAAAATAAATCAAGGACAACGTTTGAAAATAGCCTTGTCTGTCAGTCAGATATCAACCCATAGATTTTGGTTCCTTGTGTCAATAAAAGGCAAGAAAAACAAACCTTAGTAGCCTTTGTCTTCAAACCCTCCACTAAATAACCTGCTGCTAAGTGTTGGTTTGAGTAACTATTTTCCTCTAGTTATTAAGACAGCCATCCACTAAATTAAGACTGTATTTATGGCTCAACCAAGATAGAAAACTTATTCATATGCAAGCTCTGGTGAGGTTTTTTAATAGGGAATCAATGTTTTTCAGCAGTAGGCTTAAGTCCACCAGCCTTTGTCATATGTTCCCTCGCGGGCCTTGAAAGAAAAATTTCAAAAATTTCTGAAACAGCAATTTGTATACTCTTCTAAAGTGGTTTAAATAAGCAAGCAGAGTGCAAATATATACCTTAATTATGTCCAGCAAGTCACCTCTACTTCTTAAAATTTATTTCAAATTCTGCCACAATCCCACTTGCTGCCCCAAATTTGTTCTATTTCATCAGGAAGTGTAGGCTTTTGGCCATAAAAAATAGGAACTCAATTCCATTAATGAGAAGGAATCCACTGATTAGCAACACAAAAACTACGAAATATCAAACAGATTGAGTAGCCTTGCCTAAAAGAGGCACCTTCCCCCACCCCAGAACTCAGGGTTTTGAATTTGCTAGGCTCTCATGCATGACTCAGTAGCAGAATTCTGAATGTCTCCTTTATGGAGGAAGGAAGAAAAGATTATTCACCCTACAGTAAGAAATAAACAACAATAACAACACCCTGCAGCAGTGCCTTAACACTGACCAAAACAGGTGAAAAACTCACCTTTCTTGAACTGTTTTCTGAAGTTCAGTGAAGTCCTTTTTGAGATTCTGTATCTTGTTCTGGTGTTGGGACAAGTCCAGTGCAAAGCCACAAGAGCCCAGTGCAGTGACCAGGTGCTCAAGAGTATCTAGGTTCTCCTGTTGGTCTTCCATTTCCAAAGTGAGCTCCTGTCCAGCAAGCAAACAAATGTATTAAATCTAATTTTTTTTCTGTTTTGTTTTTGTTTTAAGACAAGGTCTTGCTATGCAGTTCAGGCTGGCCTTGAGCTCACTTTGTAGCCCAGGCTGCTCTCAAACTCACAACAATCCTCCTGCCTCAGCCTCCCGAGTGCTGGGATTACAGGCATATGCCACCATGCCCAGCAATCTTCTAATTCTTGTAAATAAATATATTTAAGAAGGTAGCTCTTATAAATAAATACACTCAAGAAGATGACAGATATTCAGAAGTCTGGGAAAAATTCTATCTGCAGAGCAAGAGTGAAAGAGAAAAGAGGCAAAACTGCTAGGTTAACTGCTAGATTAAAATAATAAATTACTCTCCTCCAATTGAATGGAGGGTAGCTAGGAATTACAAGAAGTCTTGTCTCCTTTAAACACATGTGTGAATACTTGGGAGACAACATGATAGAATGAAAGGAATGCAAGTTTAGGAATCAAACAAATCTGAGAATCAATCATGGCTATGTCACCTAACTTATGATTATTTTTCCAGCCATAGATATTGAACCCGTGGTCTTGGCTTATATCTTTGCCTCATTCAAATGCTTATCTTTAAGATAAGGTTTCATTAAATTGCCCAGGCTGGGCTGGAACTTATGATCCTCTTGCTTTGGTCTCACAGAATGCTGGAAATGCAGGTATGTGCCCAGCTAGCTTGTGATCTTAAGCCACTAAATTCTAAGCTTTTACAGCCACTTCTGTAAAACAGAGAAATATTATGCCCACTGTATTTAACACTATATTAAAGATATTAGCCAATGCAGTTAAGGGAAAACCACTTGCATAAGAATTGAAAAAGGATATTGCTTCTTGGCCTTTTGCCTAAGATTAAGTGAAGAACTGAAAAAGGAATGATGAAAACATTTGCAAATTACATGGACGTATACTTGTAAAATACCTAAAAGAATCAATTTAATAAGGTAGTAGGGTATATAAATCACATAAAAATTCAAGAATAAGGGTTGGGGATGTAGCTCAGTGGTGCAATGTCTGCTTGGCAAGCATAAGGACTCAAGTTTGATTCCTGGTACCAAAAAGAGAAAAGGGGGGAAGACAAAAATCAAGAATAAAAGCTTCTCTTACCACAAAAAAAGGCTCAATCTTAGTCAACAAGTAACAAGAAATACACAAAACCTAAACATTAAAACACTCTTGAGACACACCCATAAAGATATATATATGTATATACCTGTGGGAATAAATACATTCAGTGTGACTCAAATAAAAACATCAGGGTTTTTCTTGCTACAAATAATAAAGCTGAAGTTTACATGGAAAAATAAATGAACAACTATATTTATGAAATGTCCTGAAAGTAAAAATACTGAGGAGTGCTAGCAGCCCTACTAGATACTAAAACAGTAAGAAAGTCTCTGTAATTAAAAGTATGGCACATGAATAGACAAGTCAGTGAGACAGAACAGAAAATCTACTTGTACTCAGTGTATGAAGTTTCTCTAAGTATGCAGGAGGCATTGAGTTCAATCCCCAGCACTGACAAGAAAAAAAATCCAGAAGGAGATTTAAACACATATGGAAATACTGTATATGATAAAGATGGCTTCTCAATTCTAGAGAAGATACTGCTAAGGCTGTAAAGTTTATGTGCTATGAAGTTTCATGTTCTCTTAGGTAGGGCTTCAGGGAGGTGACTGGATCATGGGTGTGTGATACTGGATTAAGAGTGTGATAACAAGATTAGTACACTGATTGGTTTAGCATAGTGGCTGAATGGATTTACTGAAAACAGACGCCCCATTCTGGGTGTGAGTGGCACCAACTAATAGGCTTGTAGCCTGGATGAAAGATGAAGGGAAACAAGGAAGGGAGGCTCACTGTTGCTGCTTCCTAACTCCTGCCTGCCACAGTATGGAGTTTCTCTTCTGCCATGCTACTCTGCCTTGGAGCCTGCTGACTATGGAATGAAACCTCTACAAACTGAGCTAAAATAAACCCTTCCTCCTTTTATTGTGGATACTGGGTATTTTGCCCCAGCAACAAGAAAGTAACCAAGACAGACATTTTAACAAGTTGTATTGTGAACAACCAGATAGATCTTGGAAAGAGATATAGAAATAACTAAAACCACACTTGGATATGTTTCACCTATTATACTAACAAAATTTCGTATAAATGATATTTTTTTTTCTTTTTGAGACAGGGTCCTGCTATGTAGGGCTACCCTTGAACTCACTATGTAGCCCAGACCGGCCTTGAACTCACAGCAATTCTCCTGCCTCAGCCTCCCAAGTGTTGAGATTGCAGATGTGCACTACCATGCCCAGCTATACTAGCAAAATTTGAAAAGCTTGATAACATATTATTGGAGAGACTTTAAGAGAAACAGATTCACAGATACTGATAGCAGGGGATACAAAATGGTACAATCCCAAAGAATACAAATCTGGCTGTATTTAAAAAAACACACTGCGTGTATCTGTTTGTGGAACTAGGGACTGAACTCAGGGCCTTCACATTGAGCTATATTCTAAGGCTTTTATTTCTTTTAAGACAGGGTCATGTTAAGTTGCCCAGGTTGGGCTTGGACTTTCGATCTGTCTCAGCCTCCCAGAATGCTGGGATTATAGATGTATAGCGATCACACCAAACTACGTTTACTTTTCAATGCAATTCCACTCTAGAAATTTATTCATAAAATACTTTCAATTATATGGAAGAAAATGAACATAGTTATAATGAATTATATAATTTGGGTCTTTTGTTGTGGTTGTTGTTATTGTTTTGAGACAGGACCTTATTATGTAGTCTAGGTTGGCCTTGAATTGACTATGTAGCTCAGCCTAGCCTTCAACTCAAGGCGATCCTCCTGCCTCAGCCTTCTGAGTCCTGGGATTATAGGTGTGTGCCACCACACCAGGCCTAGCACAATTTTGGAAACTACAGGAAGCTCTACATGTGTAAGAGTCTCACTGAATAAACTATTATGTATCTGTAAGAGTAAGTATTTTTAAAAATGACTATTTTATGAATGGATATTTAATGATTTCCAGGAAATTTAGTATAAGGACAAAATGCAAAAGGATTCTACAATATACTCTTCTTTTTTTGTAAGAAAGAATGAGAAGCATATGCTCATTTTGGGAAAAGAAAAATGAACTTGTAATTCATTAGCATCAGGGTAGGTGAAGATGGAATGGAAAACACAGAAAAGAGAATGCCTTTTGAGCTGTATTAATGATTTACATACTTAAGAATAAAATTGTACCAAAAGAGATAAAAATCTTCAACTCTTTTTAGTATGTTGTTGGTGGAGATACTAGTGTGAGTCCAAAGTTCTTTTTGATTTATTACCGGATAAGGGCAATGTATTAGAGTTGTTTGGAACTAGGGTTCTCCCTGTAGGAAAGAAGATACAAATGAGACATGGAGGAACCCTGTGGTATTTAGTTGGTGTTAGATTATTAGCGTGATCTCATGATATAAAAAAATATGCACAAATATTAGCTAACATTATCTAGTGAAAGGACCTTGAAAAAATATGATGCCAGGATTCAGATTTTGGTCTGCTAATACTATTCCCCACAACAAAAGTGGGGCTTTTTGGAGAAAAAGTTGATTTCAGGTATGGGACAAGGATATTACAAAGTGAGCCTCAGCTATTTTTATTTACGTTTTGTTTTTTTGGAGATAGGGTCTCACTATACAGTTCAGACTAGTCTTGAACACACTGTGTAGCCCAGGCTGGCCTCAAACTCATGGAGATCATCTTGCCTCAACTCAGTCTCCCATGTGCTGCGATTGTAGCTATGTGTCACCACACCAGGCTTCTGAACTATCTTATTTGAGAAGACTGTAAGTATAGTTGTATGCCGATAAAGATATGTCAAAAAGACATAAAGGTTCCCACTGACCAAATTTGGGGAAACTTTCCATTTCAAAAAGATATTATGAATGTAAGAGCTCATAATGGTACCATCTCTCTTTTATATTTCCATAAAAATAAAACAACAACTGCTGAGTCTAGGTGAAAAGTATACTAATATTTATCAGACCAGTCCTTCTACTTCTTTGTAACTTTGAAATTATTCAAAACAAATCCTCAAAATTTAGGAAACAAAACAAAGCAGTGAGCTATCATTTCAAAACGAAACAAGCCTCACTAGAAAACCTCAAAGCAGTGATGTAGGAATACTGAAGTACTACAGATTGGGATGTGGGCTGCCATAACCTCAAATAGGAGCTCAGACTAGTCACTACTTACTCTAATTAAGTATATGCATATACTATGACCCAGCAGCTATCCACCTGGGTATTTATTTTGGTTAGCCATTAATACTTTTCACCAAATATTTCTATCTCTGTATCTCTAGGTACATGGGAGGATTACATTTCCTAACTCCCTGAAAAAGTTAAGTGAGGGCATGTGAAACCTGCTTTGACTGATGAAGTATAAATGCCTATGCTGTACTCTCATCCCGCTGCAACAGTATACAGGAATGCTTCTGTCAGGGTGAAATCTGTCAACAGGTGAGATGAGTATGCCAGCTGATTTGGGTTGAAATGTAGTATGAGTGAAAATTAATTTAGGCTTTTTTTTTTTTTTAAAGCATCTAGTTTACAGGATGCCGGTGGTAGTTCTCCATGATGATCTGTATCTAACTGGTACGGTATATGCTCAGTAAATGTTGGTCTCTCCCCTTTATTCTGCCAACAGATATCCTTACCTGGATATATCCTTACTGGATATACCAGGTAAGGTATATCCTTACCTGGATCTGCTGGGAGAAATGTGCAATATCTTGATCTGGCTGATTCCCAGAGGCCAACATCCGACTTTTACTTTCCATGAACTGCTGTAGCTTGTCAGAGAGCTGTTCAAACATCTCTGTCTGGGGAAGGAGCTTCTTCAAGGTGCTCTCCTTTTCTTGCTGCTGTAGTAGCAGCTGTTCAAAGCGCTGGTTCACCTCCACCAGTTTGCCCTGTAGCACCGCTGCTGTGGTACTGTCTGCTGTCTCCATGAACTGGGTCACCATCTCATGGGTGGCCTCCAAGCTGCTCTTTTGCCTAGCAATGTCCTGCTTTAATTTCTGATATAAAGAACAAAGCTGTCAGCTTTTGACTCACTTATGCCAGGATACCTAAGCTACAAATTAATAATCTTTAACAACTCCACATTCACCTCTCCAGGGCAATGCACTCTACCACTAAGCTAGACTAGACTCCAGTAGTAGAAATATCATTACATGGATTAGTCCTCATCTCTAACTCTTATTAGAACATTCACAGGCGTGAGTTTCCTCCTGCTACTTTTTCCAAAGTTATGTTAATTTACAGCCCATGGCAAACATCCTCTGTGCTCTCAGGATGCAGGTCTTACCATATTATTGGCCAAGGCTTCTTGGATGACTCCTGATGACAGGGATGTCACCTGCTCCCCTTCCAGGTTTTGTTCAACTTCTCTGATGGATTGTAGTAGGCTTTCCAGGCTTTCCTGGACACTCTGCGACTGAGCAATCGCCTTCTGCAGCAGAGCAGAGCGCTCAGCCAGAGTGCAGGAAAGGCTCTGGAACTGGCCTAGGATGGAATCTGGAAAATGAAGGATGTGAGAAGAAAGAGTAGGAGTAAATATTACTTTTGGTTTCTGCTTTTACAAAATAACATGTTTAAAATGTACATGTTAATTGTAATAATAACTGACAGTAACACAAATAGAAGGAATATGCTTGAGATACATTAGTATTACAGCCAAATTTAACAAGCATTAGTCATTTAGCATAAGTATAAGAAATTGTGCTAGATGTGAAAGACTAAAGATAATTAAGACTTGGGATGAAAGATCTTTAAGCAAAATTAAAAGAAGAAAAAGATAATTAGCACTCTAGTCTCTGTTCTCTACAAACTTAAGGTTCTAAAGCATGGCCAGAGGATGGCAAATCCTAAATAGGCATAAAAATAAAATTGTAAGTGCTTTATTGGTAAGAGAAGTATGTCCTAAAGAAACTCAGAAGGATAATCACTACTTTTTTTTTTCTTTTGAGGGATGAGGGTGATGGTTAGGAAGTAACCTCTCAGGTACATTTCCCTCTTCTGTTTGTCTCTCTATCTTTTGGATAAGTTACACATACAGAAAGTGTATAATAATGTTTTGAGATATACAAATGCATTATGGAATGGCTAACTCAACTTCTTTGATAAATACATTAGATACTTCTCACTTTTTGTGGTGAGAACAATTAAAATCTACTCTCACAGCAAATTTTATGCATATAATATACTGTTATTAATTATAGTTGCCATGATATACCCTCAGCTACATCTTGAAGCATGAACAAAACTTTATTATGCGTGGTATACATGAAACACATGCTAGCAGCGAAGCAACAGGAAAAACTTCAAAGGTAATGTAATACAGAAATAACTGGTTTACTTGGGAAATAAAAGAAGCAGGGCGCGGCTAGAAGGTAGATGCCTGGGAAAAATGGCTGAAGCCAGACTATGAATGCCTTTCAACAGCTTAAAAAGAAAATTAACTGGAAGATTAGCTACTTGATCAAAGTCTATGGCTATTCATGGCTATAACATCAGCTTCTAACTAAGCACCCAGATACATGCATGATATAATGTGCTATGTCAGTGGTGGTGAAAATATGGCACATATGCTTCAGTGGGCTGTTTGTTGGTATTGAAAGCTCTAAAATACTCGCCATCACTGTGCAGTCTTGAAGAACAGAGGCCATTTCTAGAAATTAAGGAAACAACATTGCTGCCCCTACTTCATACCTTTAGTTTCTTGAACATGCTTAGTGTCCAGGGCTGGCTCCCCTTCAATTTCCATGAAGTCATCAGCTACTTTTTGGAGCTTTTCTACAGGAACTTGGTGCTCAGCCAGTTCCTCTTGCAACTTCTGCTTATCCATGAAAAAATACAAAAGAACATCTAATTGAGCAATTAAAGCTAATTCTAGGAAGCTAGAACTACTAAGCAGTTTTATAAATAATTCTCTTTATTATCAGCCATAGATATTAGAATAAAGTGTTTAGGGGCCAGATCTTCTCCAAGACATCCCATCTACCACCTTTAATCTATACAAGTACTGGTTTTTCTTTGGAATACTCTAAGCCATGTGATCTAAGGCCTTGATGCTGTGATCACGGTCTGTGTTCAGGCTTACCTTTGTCACTGCAAGTTGCTGTTGCAGGACTCCAGGGTCAGAAGCAACAGTTTCTGAGAGAAGCTTCTTCACATTAGCCTCACAAGCCTGCATCCAGGACTGCAGACTGTCAGTGCTGCTCTGGAATTGCTGATACTGGCCTAGCAGCAAGTTCAAGTGAGAGCCCAATTGTGTACACTGTGTCAACGAAAGAAAAAAAGCAGACCTAAAACGTTAGGCCAAAGGCAGCAGCTTCCTGAGCAGAGCCCAAAGAAAGAGGCCTAGGACTAGGGATGTATCTCAGTGGTAGAGCACTTGCATATATAAGGCCCTGGGTTTAGTCTCCAGTACTGCAAAATGACACCCCCTCCTCAAGAAAGGGGCTTGGTTGCTATTTGTCACAAATTAGTGTCAGGAACACTGGATAGATAGGTATCCTCAGCTCCTAACCAAAGGAGGGGTCCTCACTATTCCTCATTGTTTACCCTTCTTTTATACCCTGGAAGACTTAATGAGTTGTATGACAAGCCATCACAGAAATTTACATCAGGTTGCAGGCAAAGTCAGGGACAAAGGTACAAAAAGAGTTCCTCTTTGGGGATTAGAGATATTGGCAGAAAGCATGACAGGTAAGAATTGACTAGATTCTAAGTTTTAGGAGGGAGAGGGAATTCTCTGGATAGGGAAGAAGATAAGGATTCACTCTCCATGCTCTGTCCAGGAAGGAAGACTGCAGTTAAAGTTTTCTCACATTATGTGTCTTGGGAGCCCACAGTGCTGGTCAAGATACCAGACAGAAAGTACATCCACCTTCACCACTGGTGTGAGACATACTCCCCGCACTGCTAGAATCAAGTGTTAGCCCACTGGCCTACACATTATGCATGTTTTTGTATAGTTCATAAAAACTTTCTGCCTGTGGTCTATATACAGTTTGCCCTCTGTGTTCCAGGGTACTTATATTGAGGCCCATTATTGTTACCCTACAGGCTGACAGGATCTATCCTTACTATATTTTTTTTTCTTGATACTGGGAATTGCACTGAGCTACATTCCCACCCTCAGACCGTTAAAGTTGAGATCCCCCTGGCTTAGTCTCCTAGAGTGCTGGGACTATAGGCATGAACCACCACACCCACTGCCTTACCTTCGAGTGGAGAGCAGTATATCTTTCTGTTGTATCCTTCAGCCTCTCCTTCACTAAACTGCTAGTTGTTGATGGTTCTTTGTTTTCCTCAGAGCTGTTTTCTGCATCCAAGACTTTTTGCCCTGAGATAGTCACAAATCTTAAGTCTCCTTTGTGGGAAATGACATCCTCTGAGAAGCTTCCCTGCTGCTTTAGCAAGGAAGGCAGTGCTTCAGGGCCAATGCCTCTCTTATGCATGTTCTCCAGCTCTTTCTCAGACCGCTCCAGCCAGCATTCAAATTCTCTGTGGTCCTGCAGGAATTTCTGCAGCTCATCCCGCAGCGTCTGCACCTGCTTTAGCTCTGCCTCAGACCGTGCCAAAGAAGTTGCATATTGCTCCTTAAGATCTCCTAGCTTCTCTTGCAGCTTCTGTTGTTCCTCAGGTGTGAGGTTGTGGCCATGCTGCTCCAGAAAAGCCTGAGCTGATTGGGTGGCCAGAACGAAATTTTGCTGCTGGGACAGTAACTCTTGGTGATGGGCCTGGTGAGTAAACCCCCAACCAGAACAAAGGAAAATCAGTAAGGAAACTTGAATAACTTGGTAATGTCTACAGCTACAGGTGGAAAGGTTTCTGTCTCTACTTCAACAGGACAACGTAGGTGAAGTAAGATACGTGAATACCAAAAGACATTATATATCTTGACTAAAGTATTACAGATGGCTAAGGGTCAGAAATGTGACTAGAACTTGACTCTCTTAATGGCCAACTAGTACCTATCTACAGTAATGGCAGGGATGAGTATCTAGGTAAGCCATAGCATGACAATATAAAAACACAAATACTTAGCTGTGAAATACATCACTCATATGTCCATGAGGACCTTCTACTAGGAAAGGACTTGAAAATTAATTCATTAAATAGAATACATTTCTGGACCTCATAGGTAATTTGCATTTTTATTTTTTATTTTTATTATTGTAGTGGCTTTTATAGACTTTTTTTGGATAGTACTGGGGAATAAACCTACATCCTCACGTATGATAGGCAAGTAGTTCTGCCACTGCTACACACCTAGTTTTGTACTTTTTTATCTGAATGTGCTATGTCTATGTACCCTTTTTTCTATTCTAGTGTATAAATGTGGGGTTTTGTTTTGAAACATGTTCTTCCAGAGCCTAACAAAAAACAGTGGGAGTTCAATCAGTGCTCGTGACTATGTATATTTATACGCAACTATCTAAAGCAGAACTATAGCCTAGTTTTCTTCAGAATACTATTTAGTTAGCAACCTGACAGTCTCAGTGTCTCACATCATCTCAGCAAAGCTAGAGATACCCTCCTTGAAATAGTAAAGGGAAGTACCACAGCTTTGTCTGTACACCGCCCACATGTCTCAGGTTCCAACACATCACCCATGAGTAAGGTGGTTTCCTTCCTGAGATGCAGATGCTACCTGGCTAGGCTGACTGTAGCCAGCAAGAGGTTCTACGATATACCAGAACCATCTCTGTTCTGTGTTACTGTAAGAGCACCAGGGCTTTGGGAAGCACTACAGTAGATCTTCCAAGTACATACACGGTAAGCAAGAGGCAGAAATCCTATTAATACAAAATACAGAAGTGAACCACACAAGTTTCTCAGCAATATTCCCAGTAAGCCAAATTACAAAGGTGTCAAAGTTAGTTACACTGTAGTGTTTTCATCCTGGTATTTTTTGTTTGCTTGTTTACTTTTTGTTTTTACATTGCCTTCTGAACACTAGAATTGAAAGTAGAAACCATTTCTTTCTCTCCTTTTATCTCTACCTGTTAGTCCCCTAGCATGTGGAGGACTAACTTCAGGGAGGAGTAAGGAGTGCTTCCTAGAGAAAGTAAGTTAAGTTCTGAAGAACAAATAAAAGAAGTGAGAACAAATAAATATTAGCTAAAACAGGACCCCTTTCTTCCTTTTTTTCTTCTTGGTTTTTCGTGACAGGGTCTGTCTATGTAGCTCAGGCTAGCCTCAAATTCACTATGCAGCCCAGGGTGGTCTTGAACTTGCAGATAATCCCCCTACCTTACCCTCCTGAGTGGATTACAGGCATATGCCACCATGCCCGGCTTTCCTTACTCTCTACACCAGAGAGACTAAGAAGATCCCAAGAGCATGCAAACGTTAAGGAGAATGATAACACAACACAGTTGATCACCTGAAAGGTATCAGTGGCTAGAGACTCAAGTGTGAAGCAAGGGGAGAGATGAGGCCATATGAGAAAGGTAGTAAACCATGTTTTAACCAGAGGGGCTGTAAACCACATTTAAAAAGTTTAGTTTTCATTTGAGGATAACAGAGTACCATTAAAAGGGTTGAGTAGGAATATAGCATTTTTAGAAAGATCATTTAGTGGCACAGGGAATAGAATCAAGTGGCAAGAAAAATAGAAGTTACTAAAATAATAATGTGAAAACTGATAATGGCTAAACTACAGTACTTCAATAGAGATGATGCAGTCTGGATAACTCTGGAAGAGATACAGGAAGCATAGGATTTGATGAAAAGACTCAATACAAATAGTGAAGGAAAGAGGAATTTAGGGTGACATCTACTTCAGGCAATTAGGTGAGAAGATACGAGAAAACATTTCTTTAGGAAGGGAGGTATAGCAGGAAATAGAAATTTCATTTTCTGGTTAAGGTGCTTGTAGTTCCAGATTACAAAGAGAAGGATGAATTTATAAACTATTTTAAAACTCAGGACTGGTATCAGAGCTGAAGAGAAATCTATATATGAAATTAACGAGCGCACCTGGTAACTAAAGTGTTCTGAGCCAGTGAGACTACCCACAGAAAGTAATTCCGAAAGAGAAAAAGGACAGAGGCTTAACAGTAGTACCTCAAAAACCAGCCAGAGGGAAAGAAGGGTGATCAAGCAGAGTGGCAGAACCAAGGTAGAAAGTATTTCAAGAGCAACAGGCAATAGTCTCCAAGCCACTGGAACATCAAAAAAGACAAAACAGAGTAGCGCTCACTGGACTTAGGGGAAAGGAGCTTGTGGTGATGTGCCCAGGGTGGAGGAGACTCCCCTAGCATGTGGAGGACAAGCCGATACCTCACCTTCATCTTCTCACACTGCCTGTCCAGATTCTCTGGGGCATGGTTCACCCCCATGTGGCCGTCAGTGGTATCCAAAGATCCTTGTGCGGGGCTAGCTCCAGAAAGCTGCTTCGTTCCTGGAAAGGTGGTCTGTAGCTGTCCACCCGATGAGCCCATGGAAGTCACCCAATTCAAGAGAGCATCAATCTTACTCTGGTTCTCTGCCAGTTCCTTTGCTGCTTTACTCTGAAAGCCATAGAATTAGTCTAGTGAGAAGACATCAGTCAACTATTAAACCACCTGTTAAGTAAAGGTGGTGAGATTCTTGCTGAAGAAAGAGCTGCTCTAATTCTGGGTATATAAACAGTCTGTACACATACAAAAACTAATACCTTCTAAAATCCATTGAACATAGTTATTTAAAATAATGTCTAGCTTTCATCTATATCCCACTGCTTCAAGAATAAAAAGGAATACTAAATCCCAGGATTTAAAGACTTTATTAAGCCATCACTTAGTCTTACTAACCCACTAAGATTTCACAGAATCCTTTCATGGTATGTGAAAGTAATATATTTGTTTGGCAGAATAAGAAATAGCATAGTCACATTCAGTTATCTGGTTGTTATTCCCTATAAGAAAAGCAGACTTCTTTCATCCTTATCTTAGTCAAATGGAACTCTCAGTTCTGAAACTTGCCTCCTGAATTTCTATTTACTAGATCTTCAAGTATTTTAGTTAATTAAATGGGACATGCCAAGTTACACATTCATGGATTTCAAAATTCCTTTACAGGGAGCTTATTTTCCTTTCCCATGCTCTCTGTCTCCCTCAGTGCCGCAGCCGAAGGCTGAACGAAGGATTCAATGTAATCTGCCACAGCCGCCACAGGGACCGAGGACTGCTCAAGACTTTACTCTCCCTTTGGTTTCTCTTGGTGCCACAAGTCACACCGTAGCTGTAGACACAACTGGAGATAACTTGAGGTAAACTAAGACATCGCAGATATTTTCCCTAGTATCTTAGATCACCAATCTAGACCTGTGTTACAAATATAATATTTGATTTTTTCCTCTCTTAGGGTAATATCTTACCTAAGTTCTTTCAATTAGCCAGAGTACTGCATATACACATAGCAAGATTATTCTGTTTGGTCGCCCTTTTTTTGGTAATACGTACTTCTTGCTAGTATTCCTAACGTGAATCTTTGGAGTGTTTCTTGTAAAAAGACAGACTGACAGATCTGCTTCTTAAGCAGCCTTCCTTTGTGACTTTATGCTCCCTATAAGGCAGTTTCCCCTCACCTTTTATACAGGTACAAAAGTTTTATTTTGGCAAAACATCAAGCGTTAGAGCAGTGTGGTCACCTTTTCAGTCTCCTGCTGCAAGGCTGAGCTAACTGCTTCCTCCAACTCCTTCTGGGCCACCCGGGTCTGTTCCTGGAGAGCTTCATATTGCTCCTTAGCCTGGTGAAGCTTTTCCTGAAGAGCTGTCAACTCCTGAGGGTTCAGTTTGGTCTGGTTCTCTTCCAGGAACACTTCAGTGTCTTTGACAACAGTGGTAAATGCAGTGGCATGATTCTGAATATCATCTTGCAAATCCTTAACACATGAAAAGAGGGATGGCATGGTCTTCAATTTTAGTGTAAGGATGAAATGGCTAGATGGACATATCTATACATAGTTTCCAACTAAAATTTATTTAAGGTTTACACCTAAACTAATGAAAGACATTTTAAAATAATTAATTTTCTAGACAAATATTTAGTGCAGACAAAAAGCAAGTTGCCCATAAATGTTGAATAGCAGAGCTTTCCATTTTGCAGTGAGTTCTTCACAAAGTGATAATTTATTTATTAATTTTGAGACAGTCTCTCTACATGGTTCAAGCTAGCCTTGAACTCACAGCGACCCTCCTGCCTCTGCCTCCCTAGTGCTGGGATTACAGGTGTATGCCACACACCTGGTTATTTTGTATTTTTGTTCAATGTTTGCTTTTGCTTTTTTGAGACAGGGTCTTGCTATGTAGTTCAAGCTGGCCTTGAACTGACTATATCCCCCAGGCTGCTGGCCTCCGAACCATGGCAATCTTCCTGCCTCAGCCTCCCAAGTGCTGAGATTACAGGTGTGCATCACCACGCCCAGTGAGATCATTCCTTCCATAAAGAGATGACGGCATGATTCTAGCAAAGCCAAAGCCTGCTCGTTGTTTTATATGGTAATCTCCCTTCTCTGCAGCTTCATTCTCCAAGGTTTCAGTTAATTATGGTCAACCATGGTCCAAAATATTGAACAGAAGATTCCAGAAATAATTCGTAAGTTTTAAATAGTGTGCCATTCTGAGTAGTGTGGTGATTCTCATTCCATTCCGCTCTGTGCAGACCAGGATACAAATCATCCTTTTATCCAGGGCATCCATACTATATATGCTATCCACCAGTTAGTCACTTGGTAGCTGCCTTGATTATCAGACAACCTGTTGATAACAGTGCTTGTGTTCTAGGAACCCTTATTTTACACAGTAATGGCCCCAAAGTGCCACAGTAATGTTCTTTATTACAGTATATTGCTACAATTGTTCTACTTTATGTTAATTTTTGTTTTAATATCTTACTGTGTCTCATTTATAAATTAAAGTTTACTGCAGTTAGATATGTACAGGCAAAGTATTATGCAGGTTCATTACTATCTGTGGCTTCAGGCATGCACTGGATGTACTAGAGCACACCCCTGCAGGCTAAGGGAAAACTGCTGCACTCTCTGGGCTCCCAATCCGCCCTGTTATGGTCTACAAAGCCCAATGTGATATGGGTCCCACCTATTTTTCCCCACTTCACTAAGCTTCTTAATTCTTTGCAGCCCAACTGAAAAGCTTTCTTTCCTTTTTTTGGTTGAGGGGCAGGGGAGAAAGGGCCGCTACTGGGGACTGTGACCAGGGCCTTTGCACTGAGCTACATCCCCAGCTCTTTTATATTTTACTTTGAAACAGGGTCTCACTAAGTCATTAAATTACTTGGGCTGGGCTCAAACTTGTGACCCTCCTGAGGCTGGGATTACAGGCATGCAGCACATGCTCTGCTTCTTTCAGTTCTTAATATGTTGGGCCCAATCCCATTCCCACTTCAAAACCAATGACAAGCCTCTGGTTGGTCTCTGTTCTTCTTCCCAGTCCTTGATGCACTCACCCTTCCATGGCTTCCACTTCTCAGTTTAACACTTCTTCAAGGTAACCTTATCTCAAATACTAGACTAGACTGGGTGTCTCTGGTATGTGTTTTCATTAAATTTCAAGATACCACATTCATTAGATGTTCATTTTTGTGAATAACTTCTGTAACTATCTGTCTCCCTCACCAAACTGTGAGCTTCATGAAGGCATGAATGATGTCTGTTTACCCCGATGCTGGCACAGTGCAGCCTTTATACATATTAGTTAAAGGAATGAAAAAAATGAGTAACTCACACTAACCTTCAAGTCACTTTGGTTCTTCTGCAAAGCAGAAAGTTCCTGCTGGGAGGCTCTGCCCTGGTGGCTCACCAGTGCTCTTTCCGCCTGTCCTACCCAGCTGCATAGATCCTCTAGTTTCTGATGACAGGTATTTTGTTGTTTCTGCAGAGTCTATTTAAAATGTAAAGGAGTCAAGAGACAATTAAAAACTCTCAATTTACATATACATATAACTCCCTGAAATGTAGAACAAGATTATATCTTAAGGGTAGAAAAGTTGGTGGAAGCCTAGTACAGGAAAAGGCACAGAAACCACATTCAGGAAGCTCCCCTTCTTCGACAGTCTATTGATCTGGCCTATGGATGGGATGACAAATGGGCAGTTTCAGAAAAGAATGCTTGTGAAGTTTGGGTCTAGGAGCTCCTCTGCCAGACTGCTATTATTACCTTTGGAAATGGAAAATACTGAAAACCATGATTGTGGTAATGACAATAAATCAGTGGTTCTCATTAATTCCTTCTCTAGAACCAGGTGATCTGCTGTATATTAAGGTCAAAACATGGAAAATTAGAAGAATGGGAATAGAAAAATAAATCAAAGACCTGAATAATTCATAAGCTAATAGAGCTTAATAATTAAGTTGACATTATAAGTGAAATGCCTCCAAGTTGCAAGGACCCAAAACATAGGATGCTTATGTGCCAGGCATAAGAAGTTTGACTTTGGCTATTTTAAGAAGGAAACTGCCCAAGAAAAGCTCCTGGCTCAGTCCTTGAAGTGGCTACACTTACACCTTACTTCAAGGAAAAAGGCAGGCCCTAGGAGAGAGATCGAATATGTTTCTGTGCCTAAGCCTTTCCCCAGACTCATTTTAGTTGCATGACACTGAAGCACCTATTTGAGCAATTGAGCATGATGTGTTCTCCTGACATCCTTCTAAAACCATTTTCCACCAGTTTCTGCCTTCTGATGGTGTTTTAGTCACCTGCACTTACAAACAGGTGCCCAATTTGGCCCTCTCTCCCCCTCTTTAGAACAAATAGAAGGGCTCTGGAAGAGAACTCCTAAGAGCTCTTCAGCTGTAAAACAGGATCTTCATGGGTTAGGATGGGTGCAGACTGAATCTGAAAAAAGCAAAGCAAACAAGTTAACACACAAACATACACATGCGTTCAGGGCAAATATAGAGAGAAGCAGAGCATTTCTGACAATAACAAGGTTAATAAACATTGTGGAATTAATTTTGTGCTCAGGGAGAATATTCACACGCAGTTTTATCACTAGCTGCAGTTCAGAGGCCTACTTTGGATCTGGGCTGGGTCTTTAGGTAACTGAGACCAGTCTACTTCATTAAGTATCCACAGGCTACACCATTCTATATAAATTACTGCATTAAGGCATTGTGCATGTTCCAATTTGGAAGGTAACAAAGTAATTCATTAGGATTTTCTCAATGTCAATACAGTTCAAACATCTGACCAGTAGTAGGGGACATGTGGTACTGACTAACCTAATTTCCTTTAAGACTAACTCAAAAGTGCAAATTATATTTTGCACAATATTTAATAAAGGAGTCCCTGAGACAGATTTGCTGGTGACAATGACAATTCTAACATTTTGCCATATGCCAACTTACTGTTCAAAAAGCAGAAGAAACAGAAACATCACTCAAGGTATTCTAAGATTATGATGTTATTATTAATGCATCTATGTTGAGTTTGAGTTTGTTGTGATGGAAGATGGTAGGAAGGTTATTAGAGTTTTTAAAAAAATTGTATCATCCCTGATTCCATACACTGTTTTCCATGACTGACTAAGTACCAGAACTATAATATGAAGAAAGTTGCTAAAAAAAATTTAAAAACTGTTAATAAATTACTATAATTCTAATAAAAAATGTCCTTGTCAGCTGTTTGAAGATTATCAAGAAATCTTATTGTAAAGCATTTGAACAGCTCTAGACCAAAACTGATTTTCAGAACTATTCTTGGCATGAGTTCAGAGTATCCTGATGTTCTTTACAGCCCTTAAGAGAGAAAAAGGAAAGTAATGGGAAGAAGGGGCTTGCTATTATGATTTTCCTTCAAAGACACAGTGAGGGTACAGCCTCATGAAAATGAAAACACTTGCATATACAATCACACACGAACACACATATATTCTCTCACATAAACACAAAACCAAAAACATGGCAAGAGAAACAGCCAGAAAAGCTTCCTCCAGGGCCAGAACCATACTGGCCTAAATGACACGAAATTTCAAAACTGGTAATGCCAGGGCTGCAGGAAATCATACTGTACATGGAAGCTGACCAGAAAATCCCAAAACAGAAAACATCCCAGAACAAAAGAGCCCAGCTGCTGGTTCAGTCTGACCTTAACCTGGGCTTCCTGCTGCATTTGTTGAAGGCGACCCTGCAAGGCATCCATCTGAGCTGCAATACAGTCCACAAGGTCCTGGAAGGACCTCTGCAATTCATTCAGAAGCTTCAGCATCTGTCGATTCTGCTGAGGGGACAAGTCCTGTGCATGCTCAGCGATAAAGAACTGAATATCAAAAGCAAGAGCATCCAGCTGAGATTTCCTTTCGGCCAAGGGCTGCTTCAAATCCTAAGGTCAGTAGGGAAAGGAAAAAAAGAAAACGAAAGAAAACTTCTATTTCCCCTTCCAAGAAAAAGCTGTCGATTCTAATCAAGAATCAAGAAAATGAGATGATAACTTCCTCTATCTTTATAATTGGCACTGATGATCCTAGGGTAAACTAGCATTGGAAGTCTCTCTTCACTTTTGGTTCTTTCAAATTCCTCACAAATACAATTAAGAGTGTTCACTTCAGCAGCACACACAATAAGTGCAATTAAGTTTCATTTACTAGACCTTGATTTTGAAATGCAGTAAGTTTTCAATTACTTACGGTAACAACTGTACTACTGCTAATCTTTTTGAAAAGTTTTGGAAAACACAGCATGAATTGTTTGTCTAAGATATATCTCATCTCATTGTACTTTCCTAGGTCCAAATATCTACTTGTATTTATACAGCAGTGAATTACTGGCAGGCTAGCACTGAGAAAATATATAACATTTGATTTTTAGAGTAAACAAATGCTATTATACATTTTTAAACTATCAAGGATTATAGATTATAGTCAGATTTTCTTATAAGATAGTTATTGTTCCCTTAAAGTAGCAGAAACTGTCCAAACAATGAAGTCATCTGTTTTTAGACAATTAAAATCATGTAATTTCCTCATAAACACTTAGTGGTCATCAACTATATTATAAAATAAAATATTCTGTAATACAGTTATTATTATTGTGCAATAAAAACAGGATATCGGGTCAGGGATATAGCTCAGAGGCATAAGCCTGAGGTCATGAGTTTGGTTCCTGGTACCAAAAACAAAACAAACCCCCCTCCCCGCAGAAAAAACAAAAAAGAAAACAGGACATCTATGAGCACAAAGGTCTTAAATTACTACTAAGAAAACAAGCATTAGACTGCCATTCTCTTCCTAGAAGAAAATGCACAGAAGTTACAACTGGCGGAGGGCCTCAGTGCATGAGATGCTCTGTGTTTAAATGTCACATTATATCAGAGGAATTATTTTCCCACTTGCTTTTTTATAGTATTTTGAAGAAAATCTGCTCCTCTCTCCCCCAGCAATATCTCTGGGTAAAGAATCTGAAAGAAGGATGTAGGTCAACTCTTACAACATAAAGATGGAGAAGGAGGTCACATACAAGGTCGAGCAGTGACATACCTTTATGTCTGCTTTTCTTAACACTGGGGAAAGAAGAGGAGGAGGGGACACCTCTAGTTCATCCTGACTTTCTAAAGAGTTTGAGTGGGACCTGTCTTTATAGCATAAGGTGGATAAACCAATGAATATTATCTGATGTAACATTAAGTGTAACAATAACAAAAGTAACAATGTTAAAGAAAAACTCCCTGGATTTACTGCAGAACTATTCTCTCATTGACTAATAAGAAGAATCAATTAATTTGGAACTTAAGAAAAAAGAAAAACATCTCTCCAGATCAGAGGGTCAGGAAACTATGGTTCCCTAGCTAAATCTGGCCTGCAAAGCCCAAAATATGTATTATGTGGCTCTTTTAAACAAAAGTTTGGCAATTTATGCTGTAGGTCGCTGAACAAAAACTCTCCTGAAACTGGTGCGTGTGTGCACATGTGCATGCACATATATGTATAAGATTGGATTTTCGGCAAAGAGAAATAGATCCTAGATAATCAATTATAAAGATTATGAAGAGAAGATGCAGTTGATAACAACAGGCCATTCTGTAGACTGTTTCTCAGAGAGAAGCTGAATGGGAAAATAATCATTATTATTAATCATAAGCTCCAGGAAGATGACTACTTAAACAACTATATACAGCTGACTTTACTGAAAGGGAAAAGACAAGTTTGTCCTCTACTGAAAAGGAAAGCACTGGCTTATCAAACTTGTGCTATAAAGACAGGTCCCACTCAAACTCTTCACAAAGTCAAGAGGAATTAGAGATACCCCTCCTCCTCTTTACTGAAATGAAAAACAAAAATAAAACCTGTACAACTTAAAGGACAAATAAAGCATGCTTGGGAATGGGTGGAGAGCTTACTTTATACTGCTGGAGAGCATGACTCAGGCTGTCGACATCTATTTCACTGTCACACTGTTTGTTGTTCAGAATAACACTGGTACTGCCAACCCAGGCTCTCAGATCTTGAAGTTTGCCTTCCAGCTGCATGTGCTGATTTAACACTGTGGTCTAAGAAATAAATAGCAAGTCAGGTTAGAAAACTCTCCCAGACTGCCAGGCTTTAAGAGCTTTTATGAATAAAAACAAGATACTACCTTTTCTACTTCCACAGCATTCTGGAGATGGAGCAGTCTGGTGCTCCAAGCGTTGCTCACAGAGCTGAGAGACTTCTGAAGATTCTTGGCATCTTTCTCTAGAGCTTTCAACAGCTGAGCAGGGACTTCTTGAGGCTGGCTGACAATAATCTGGTTCACACATTCCAATTCCTGACTCACCAAAGTGGACAGGTCCTGTAGCTCCCTGTCTAATACCTGAGGGATAGACTGGAGTTAACTTCAAAATTAAAACCAGCAATCTTGCCATCTGAGAATCAGCTGTGAACACACCTCTCTTGCCTCGTGTCTGCACAGAAATTTAGGGCTCAGAAAATGTTTTTATGTACATTCACCAGTTTACCAGTTCTTACAATCACTAATTCATGAGGTCAGCATGACGGACATTATTATTCTGGGTTTATAAAAGAGATGCCTCAGCACTTAACAATACTTTTTTTTTTTTTTTTGCCTGAGGCCACCTAGCTGGAGCCAGGACTTGGATTCAGGTCTTCAGACTTTGTGTAGTGTGTATCCTCCAGTATAACTTGCTGCCTCTCTGACAGTGGTATTATTCTTTTCCCCACGAGCTGCGATGCATAATTAGTGTACTGCAAAATAAGTTGATCAAAATAACAATTCTTCTGCTCCACACCACAAGGGAACAGAACCAAAGAACATATCCAAAGATATCCCAACAAAGAGCCTTCCCGATCAGCTGATTTATAATATTCTGGTCCTCAACAGAGAAGCTAGAAATGAGTATGAAATAGCTTGGTAGTTTTTATGAATATAACCTCATTTCCCAATGAGTCAATGCCCAAGACCATACTCTGTACACTGAGAAGACTGGTAAACCTCTATGTCTGTCACAATTGTAACTCTGACCCTGTGATGGCTCTGAGCCTTTAACTTCAACGAAACAGCAGCTCCTCCTCCCTCTTAAGGCTGCCTTTCTACATTCTCAGGAGCCTGACTCTCAGTTTTCACCTCCTCTCTCCTCTAAATTCAAGTTCTCCTCCCACTGAAAATGTGGTTCTCTTTTCACAGCTAAAAAACCCATTCAGAACATTCCTCTGCTGGGTTATCTCTTCTGGCTAGTGTCCTACCTCTTTCATGATGGCACTACAAAGCTTCTGGAAAGAATACTCGATAGTAACTATCTCCACCTTCCAATCTGAGCTAGTTAATATCTCACTCCACTGAAACTCTAGTAAGATCGCCAACGACATTCAGGCACTCACTTCTCTCTTCAGTCCTCAGTTTAGTCCCTGTGCGGTAGTTAATTCTGTTCAGTCCCCTCTTCCCTGAGTCTCCTTGTTGGTTTCTGTGAGGCTAGTGTTTCCTGGTAGTCTTAGAAAAACTAAAATTTAAAAAACTAAACTAATTTCATTTCTGAAATGTAAAGTGAGATTTTTCCAAAAAAAAAAAAAAAAAAGCACAGATACTGGTTTCCCCAGATGGAAAATAAAACTGTAACTCAAGCCAGGAATGGTGGTGGACGCCTATAATCCCTGCACTCCAGAAGCTAAGGCAGCAGGACTGGTGTGAGTTAGAGGCCAGCCCGCGCTACACAGAGTTCAAGGCCAGCCTGAATTACATAGGGACACCCTGTCTCAAAAAACCAAAACCACAACAAATAAAATTCATACAATTCAGGCCAGATGTGATGGCACATGCCTGTAATCCCATCACCCAGGAGGCTGAGGCAGAAGGATCACTGTGAGTTCCAGGCCAGCATGGGCTAAAGTGAGTTCAACGCCATCCTGAACTGTATAGTAAAACCCTGTCTCAAAAAGACCAAAAAAAAAAAGAAGAAAGCTACAACTCAAAGGACAAATAAAGTGTGCTTGGGAATAGGTAGACAGTTTATCTCATACCAACAGACGGAGAAGAGACTGTTCTCAGATTTTTGTTTTCTATTGGTGTTTCTGAAAAAAGTTTTCTTCCTGAAGAGTTTCTATTTTGTCAGTCACTTTTTCTTTGTTTTTAGTCTTTTGTATTAGAAAGTTATATGCTTACATCTGAAAGTAATTCCCTAAAAAGCTGCCGACAACTACATGCAGACTGCAGTTTTCACTGAGGGTGATGGTGGTAGATCCCGCAGCTGGGAAACTGCTCACCAGTTGGCCTTACATCATCAATCCAAGATAGATAACAAATGTCTTACCAAAGTTTATTCAAGTTTGTCCATCACACATCTTGTCTAGTCTGATCAAAGCTAGCCCCACAATATCTAATAAGAGTCTGAGACTCTTTACCCTGGAATGGAGAATTAGGCAGGTTCTTTTAAGCCTTGGAAACTTTAAGAAAGATCGGGGCAGCTAATTTGAAGCCAGCGGGCCTGGTGGAAGTCTCTGGCAACTTACCTTCGCCTGACACACCAGGTCCTTTAATTCTGCCAGGTTAAGTTCCAAAGGTTGAATCTGTTTGGTCCTCATTTCAATGTCCCGTAACAGAGACAGATAGGACACCAGCTTCTCATCATGTTCTAAACAGAGTTGCCGGTTAAACACATTCTGTGGAGCCAAAAAGAAAACTTTTAGTTGCAGCATTCTCCTTTAAGTAGGCTTTTAAAGTGGGTAGTTACTTACTAGACAAACAGCAAGAAGTAATTTTTACTAAACATAAGATAGGGTTAAATTAAATGTTATTTTGTCCAAGTCAATCCAAATAAATAGATAAGTGATTTTATTAATTCCCTCAGAGAGTAAAAGTCCATAATTATTAACTGAGAAGCATCATTTTAGCATCACTTCCGAAAGCTATTCTGATTTCAATTAGCATTATCCCAGCACTTCAAATTAGCACTACATTAGCGTCTAATTTAAAATCCTAGGTTCAGGATGTAGCTCAGTGGTAGAGCACTTCCTAGCAAGCCCTGGCATCAATCGTGAGCACCACAAAAAGCAGGCAAATAAAAAAAAAAAAAAAAAAAGAACTTTAAATTTCACTAGGTGTGGTAGCACACACCTGTAATCCCAACACTTGGGAGGAAGGAGGATTATGGTGAGTTTGAGGCCAGCCTGGGCTACAAAGTGAGCTCAAGGCTGGCCTGAACTGCACAAGACCCTGTCTCAAAAAGACAAAAACCAAAACAAAACGAAGCAAAAAAACCCCTGCAAATTTCAAAAACACATTCAGAATCAGTGAATACCTAATTTTCTAACAATTACATATAAACAGATCACGATAAACAAAGTTATATCTTAAAAAGAATTATGTAGTGTTCTCTAAATCTATTGGAAGAGAAAGTAGGTAAAAACCTCGAAGACATAGGGGTAGGCAGAGAGTTCATGAATAAAAACCAAATTGCACGTGAAACACTT